GTTATTACCTTCTTTGTTGTACAAGATCAAGTGATGTCAGAAACTTGAAATATACATTTTTTCTTTTAGATGATGTTGACGTTTATTATTTTCTACAGTCGTGCATAATAATAATTACTCTGTTAAAACTATTCGCCAGCGTGTCTTTGATGCAATCTACATTTCAGGTTCGTTGTATACTTATTACAGTATTACCTACATGGCTACATAATATATTATAATATCATAATCTTTTGGTTTAAATTTATATACATTAAATAAAACAAAAAATGGTATATTTAATTCGCTGGCCTGTACCTATCATTCAAATTTCAAAATGACAAGTTCATAGTAAACTAGTAAAGACATATAATATATTATAAAGTAAACTAAAAAGTGCATAATATTTCTCGAATTTCGTGGGCTAGGTTATGCATTGTTGTCTTGTACTATTATAATTGCTCTATTAACCATTGTAAAACATAGGGTTTACTAAAATTATACTCCCAAGTTTTTCATGTAATATTAATGTGCTGTTTAAATTTGGCTTTTAAAATTTTAGTTACCAGCTATAATATACTTATAATATGGAAACTGGGTCCAGATTGCTTTTATTTTTAATAATCGTTTTAATATGTCTCGTATTTGCCCTCTCTGGGCAGGCAACTGTTTAGACGGCGAGACCACCATCCCCCAACCGGGCATGGCAGACTTAAGATGACAATATAACTCTCCAGACGATTCTCATCACTCATTAGTAGAATATTAAACTTTATACGAAAATTCTTATTAAAATAATTATAACAATACATAATATACTATGTAATTGTATAACCATATATTTTTAATTAATGCTTATAAACTATTAAGCGATGTTTATTCTACTTAGGTTGGTACCTACTACGTATATTATATACATTAGCTACCTTTATTTCGTAATTCGCAATTTTTGTATTTGTTATGCGTGTTTTCCTGCAACTTTCACGAATTAAATCGGGTCATGTTTACCAATTATCATACGTAATTTCAGTAGAAAAAATGACTAAGGCCGAATCGCTTTTTTTATTACCTGCAGCTGCTTGCTATAGTTGCCACATTGCTGTTGCTTTACTGTGAACTGAGCTTACATTTGCCCATCCCAACTTCCAGATGTATTCTTACAAAATGTCTTAATCATTAAAAAAATATTAAAACCCAAATAAGTGATGGTTTTTACTTTTTTTGTACCACCCATGTTCATTTGTTTAATAAACATTTTAATTTCTAAACGATTTTTAAGTATAAAAAATATTACATAAAAATAAAATGTCTAGCCTGATCCAACATATATAATATTATTTATCTCAATATTGTACAAAAAAGTTTTAAAAAATAATTTCGTAAAATAATTACCAATTACTATAGTAGCTAATATTAGTGAAAATGATGACTTCCCCCAACCATGTCTCTGGAGCCACCCCTGAATACCTAGTTAATAGGTATTAAAAAATAAACCAACCGATTTCACTGTGCACCAACAACTTGACCAAAACTGTTTCTACAGCCCACAAGTGCCTTTCAAATCTTACTCATGCCCAGTCTTAGATATAGTTAGGTACCTAGTTCAGTAGTCAATAGTACCTAAATCATAATAGGTAGTAGGTATTATTACAACAAACGTGATAGGTTTTTTTTTTTAATTACAGAACGCCCCGTCAAAGATATTTATTTGGATTGTGATCGCTTGTATCATTTACCTTACTGCATTTATCGTTTCGATTAAAATGTACATCCACAAAGTGCATCGCAATAGGCTCATCGCCAAATTCACAGACTCCGTAAACCAGCTGGAATGCCATCTTCTCCTAGCTTTTATTTTGATAAACTGTAAGTATCGACTTCCTGTAATGGTAGACATATTATTATTGTATACCAATTCAATAATCTGAATGACAATGATAATACAATTTTCATTTTGTTTAATTTGTCATACCTATAAACACGCAGTTCTCTCTATTATTGAGATTCACGTCGTCGCGTCGTACTACCGTCAAGAGAAACATTTGGAGGAAGTTGAACAGTGTACGAGAACGCACGCCGCCGTAATATCGTCAATGAAAACTCGCGGAGACTTGGAAAATATGTTCATCCACGACGTCTCGCGGACTCTCCCGATCAACAGGTCTTCTGCTGCAGAGGTGAAGACATCGATTTTCACTTCTTTTAAAGGGGTGCCGGTTTGATATGCCTACGACACACATGTGATAGGCCCAGAGAGCGCACTGCATTTTATATGTTATAAATAATGATTTACCAAATTTGTATTTAAGTATACATTTTGATTTTGTTACCATTATAACTAAGTTATTAACTATTATTAAATTGATAATTTTAAATTTAGCACGTATGATTGTAGAAATACCATATTATACGATTAAATATGTATAAATAGGAAATAAAAAATAAAAGTACCTATAGTCACGTAAGGTGGATAAAAATTAAAATCCATCTTGGTAGTTACTTACATTGTCCATGAACTAAAAAATATAAATTAAATTATGATAATAATTATTATACCATGTATTAATTATATTATTATGTCTATAGTCTATAAAGTAATGCTGTGTTTTGTACAATATAATATTAGGAACCTATAAGTTCCATGGTTTTGCAGCTCAATATTATGATTATTATTATTTTTTTTTATATACAATATTATAATGTAATTTTCTATAATATTATTATTGTAGGTACCTAGTACTACCTACCAAAATAATGTTCAGAGGTTCAGATCACATATAGTTCAGTAATAAATGGCCAATCAATCAGTGGTATACGTACCTACCTATAATACTACTATACCACGATTTATTTAGCATGAACAGTTTAAAATTAGTCTATAAATATTTTATGTATACGCAAGCCCGGATTAAGGATCTATTGGGCCCCTGGACACCATACACTTAGTGGGCCCCCTTTCAACTTTAACTTCAAAATATTTGTATTATTATATATTAACGACTTTATACTATTGTATAATTTTTTACTATACAAAAAATATACAGTGTATCTTATGTCATAGTACGCGGGTTTTTTTTTTAACAATTATGGATCGATGATACGGAATTTCGTTAAAACAAAAAAAGACGTGTTTTCTTTATTTTTAACAGGCATTTTTTTTTATAACATTTTCAAAATGTTTAAACACGCACTTTTACCAATAATAAAATCGATTTTATTTTTTTCAAATGGTACCTCCTAACCACTATATTTTTCATGGATTCTGGTAAAGCTTTTTGTCTGAACATTTTGACAGTCAAATGATCAATTTTAGTTTGCTAGGTTATTACTTATTAACTATGGTCCTCGAAAGTTTAGTATAATAATTTAATATGCATTAATACTTTTAACTGAAATACCTCATTTACAAGAGCTAAATATTTTTTTCTTATAACTACCTATATACTTAAATAGCTAAATCAGTTATCGAAAATGCTCAGAAAAAAAAACATAATCAAAATTGTGTTTCTCAACACAGTTCATTATTTATAGTAACTTTTCGTGATATAAAATTGAGAACAATTTTATTTTATAATTATTATTTATTAAGTAATAATAATTTACCTACTACCTATACGGCTATAGAGTAACCTGGGGTATAATGGCGCAACTCATATTTAACAGCTGTTATGTGGTAGCATACACGTTTAAGAAATATAATATGGTTAATACAATTATTTTGTAGATACCTACTTGAAACTTAAGCTATATGTTCATTTTATCAATTCCTATACATACTATAACACCATTAATTAAATTTACCCCCTTGGCAATGTATACCTACAGTTTAGCAGAGCGACAACCACTTGCCCACCTTTTTTATAATATAAAATCAATCTTTCAAAGTAGTCTTGCAAATCTATTAATGACTTTGTTAATATTATTATTAATATAAGGAACCTTATATTAAATTCGCAAGATATTTGACCATACATTTTTTAATTATGTTTAAAGAAAACTAAAATTAATATTGATTTGGTAACAGTGAAAAAATACAATAAAATATATAAATCCTATCATAATTAAAATCAATGTTAGCTGTGTCTTACTTTATGTTTTGTGGATTATTGTTAAATTTTTACAAATTTTGTTTTATTAAAAACTGAATATGTAATAATCAAACTGAATAAAAATGCAGATAGACAAGATTACTTTGTCTAAATATATAAACACAGGCATGAACTACAAGGCACAACACAATATTAAATAATGATAGGTACTACTACTCGCAAAGTTGATCCATGCTGACTGCTAGAACTCAAATGAGACACAAAATACATTTACAATACATCGAAAATGTTTTTAATATTCATATTGAACCAATTTTTAGTTTTTATCTGTAGCACTTTTAAATGCAATTTTAATTTACCAATATTCATGTTGGTAAAAAAATTATATTATTCAATATAGAAAATCCATGTTCTTCTAATAAATATGTTATACTTTACATATTATAAATAATAATGTATATAATAAAATAAAATTGTTTATTGTACCAAAAACATAGGACATTATAGGTACTATTACAGTATAACTGTATAAGTAATCTATACTAGAATATTAAACATTAAAAATAAATTTAAATGTCCTTATCTTACAAATATATCTTTATTATATTTGTACTATTGATGTATACAACTTAAGAGTAAAAAATATAATAATAAAATATTATTAAAAGGAAAACACAAATTAATTATATAGGATAGAATAGAATTATAATGAGATACTTAAACCAAAGTAAAAAATGATTAACAATATTGTGATTAAGAAAAAAAGTTTAATGGAATAAACAAAAACAATTATTATTTAACTTAGGATTAGCTAAAACAGTAGTAGTTCAATAAAAATATTAGCTTCTAAAATAAGAAAACCAATTATCACTTAACTTGAAATTTGTAGTATACAAGATAGTATCCATTTATATTAAAATAAGTATAAAAATAACCTAATTAGTTTGATTAAAACTTCAAAGAGCATCTTTTTTAAAAGTCTGCTTTATAACTCACAACAGTATCCATTCTATGCAATGAAGTTGAAAATGATCGTAACTGTAGCTCTTGAGAATTAGCAATATAACTAGGAGCCGTTTCAGACCATTCTTGTGGTACATCTACATCAGGTTTAGTGTATATTTGCAAATCAAAAGCACATGGACAGTCAAGTAAAGGTAAAAAACTAACAGTAGAACAAATTTGCCTCAGTACGTCTCTAATTTCTTTTTGGATTGTTGTTAGCTCTTTATTTCCAACTGAATCTGGGTTTGAATCACCAGATCCTTCATACTGCAATTTGAAATCCCAGCGTTCCATCACTTCTTTGGTGTTAACATTGGATATTACCATTGACATATTTTGAATTTTTTGTTCTAACAACCAATCTAAAAAAATATTTTAAAATTAATATTATAAAATACACGTTAAGAATAAAAAAAAATCTTGAATGGAAGGTATCTTTTTAGTATAAGATGTATTATTTATTTTTGTGATTAATTATTTTACAATGTTCAACTACCTATATTTTATTAATTTTAATTGAACTTAGGAAAGCTTGTATATATGTTTGTAGTCTGCAATTTGCATATCTATACAACTTTTAACTAATGAAAACCGATTTATTTGAAATAAAAATCTTAAGAAATAGCAAAATATATTATCTATAACTACCTAGCTACAAAATGATTGATTAGTAGTTTGTTAATATAAAAAAAAATAATATTTATAACTGTATAAGGAACTAATTTTTTCCTCTACAAGGTATCCCACAATAAGCCAGTTATTTGAAATGGAAGTATTATAAAAATCCACTATTACATAGTATCAGTACATAAGTTTATTATTTTTTCTAATTTAAATTATACTCTTTTTCACGAGAGAACGGTACCGTTTCGCGCATGTATAATGATTCGATTGGTGCGTGAACGACCACGTGATCACGCTTACCACTGATAGTTGGTGGGGGATGCGCGGCGGCGGACCCGTTTTGGTCGGCCGCCGGTACCTTTCTCTCGTGAAAAAGAGTATAGTCATTTTTAGGATTTTTTACTGTTAAAAGTATCAAATTACCAAAGTAGGGTTTGTTTGTTAATAATTTGTTTCCAAATTAATAAATATTGAACAATTATTTTTGTCTTTATACTTTCAGCTATTGTCTCTGTCTTATTAACGCATAACATGGTAAATTGATGCTCAGAAGAATCAGTTTTACTCAGGTATTGATAATTAAGAGTGTATGATCAAATTTAAAGGGGTAAGAACATTATCCAGTACCAACAAAATTTCTAAATTATAAATTGCTCATAACTTGCTTCAAAGTACAAAATCGTTTGTGGATAATATTCTTACTTTTAAATATGTAGGTCATTTCAATCTATTAAAAAAAAAAAAACAGTAATTCGGATTATTTGATTTATTCTGTATTAAGACTCAGTCAAACAGAAAGCGGTCTGGTGGTGCGGGCACCGTAATATAATACAACCGACGGCTGCCCGCCACGGTCAGAGTACCCGTTCACCATGGCAGCCCGCTCTCTATTTGACTGAGCCTTTAATAACACAGATACCACACTTCATACAGAGATAACATAGGTACTATTATGCTAAAATGAATTATTTTTGTACAAACAAAAAATATTAGCCACTACAAATTATTAGTAATAGTTAAATGTATACCTTTCATTTGATTGAGAACGGGTTGTAGGAACTGTTGAATTTTATTATCGGTTGACACAAGAATCGACAGTCCAAAATGTTCTTCTGTTTTGAAAGATTCTGGTGGGTATATTCCCCGTTGAAAAAGAATACTGTTTATTCCAAAATCTAGACCAAATGATTAATGTCATTATAATTTTACATTATAGCAAAAAATCATAATAATTATTATTATTATAATATTATGCTCACTTAAATAGTCCATAACCAATTTCGCAGACCCTTTGAGAGTGATGGCGTTTTGGCTCTGTTGTTTGGTAGCCATTGTGTTATGTTTGTATTTGTAGTATAGATTATTACACAACAAATTACGAATAGTACATTCAGTCTCGATGAAAAAAAGCTTAAAAGTGAAACCGTGAAAGTGAAATTAGAAACACACAATATTTACAAATTCAAATACCAAATAATCATAATATTATATTGAAAACCATAATATTAATAACGGAAAATCCTGAAACCGCTGTAATTCGATTTGTGTTTTGCTTACCAACAGTTTTCTAGGTTAAGATTGATAACGGGTTTTTGGCGGTAAAACAATTCATATCATTTTTTTTATTCAATCAAACAACCCAACCATGGTTGAGGCACAGAAAATATTCTATAGTAAAATGATTATAACTTGTAATCACGGATATAGACACGGTCTTAGATTATATCACGGTTTAAGATAGACTTAAGATAGTCTATCTTAAACCGTGGATTATATAGATATACAAATTAAGCTGATGTAAGAATTTAATATTGATAATTTGATATACAACTACCTATATTCATATTAAATAGCCAATATGGGCAGTCAGCAATCGGGAGCTAGTACAGCTAGATTTTATATTTTTATCTGATTCGTACACAATACTCTTTTATAATTATTAATTACCAAGGTTTGGACCAAAAAAATGAATATTAAATGATAAAGCACGATTTATCAGATACCTATATCTTAAATAGGATATTAGGATATTTAAGATATATCTTAAATCTTGGTTGAAAGGTTACCAGACTTGCTTGGGTCGTATTGGTGGACCAATATAATAGTACCACAGAATCTATTCTGTTATCGTACCTTAAGAGGACGCCACACCCGCATGTGTTGTCTCCGTCTTACAAACGCGTAACATATCAAATTTTACACTGCAGATCACGTTTATCTCCGTTAGTTTAAAAGTTAGAGTGAATTGACCTCTTATTAAATATAAAGGTAAGATTATTGTTGAGGGCATCTCATAGGCATTTTATTATATTTTAATTTTTAAACGAATATCGTGTATTTTAAGATGTACAAACAATTTACAATTTTAAAATAGTAATAATTCGCTCTAAAATTAAAATATAATAAAAAGGATATGAGATGCTCTCGATAATAATCTTACCTTTAAATTTAATAGGAGGTCAATTTACTCTAACTGTTAAACTAAAGGAGATAAACGTGATCTGCGGAGCCTACAATTTGCTATGTTACGCACTTGTAAGACGGAGACAACGAATGTGAGTGTAGCGTCCTCTTAAGTTAAAAATTAATATTACGGGCTATAACTTATTAGAGACGTCATGTTCTACCACTAGAATACATAAACTTAATAAAGATTTAAGAATAGTGATTCCAATAGTATCAACTATCAAGTATCTAGTAATTGATTAATTTTAATTCAATTTAATATAAGTCCACATATTTTAATTCAATAAATCCAGGATATTATTAAATGACATAAAACACATATACAATATTGTATACCTATTCGAAATTTTGATAAATGTTGTCAACATTAATGATTTAAAAACTTGTAAAAACCATGGCCCATGGGAACTTTGTATGTGCGAGAATTTGTTAATTTAAGGGTGAATATTCAATGTCTAACCTCAAACGCTCATAACAATTTAATTTGACTTTCCAGAAGAAAATTTTTTTTTGTTAAGTCTAAGAAGACAAAGTTATGGGGAATCTTGTATTAAATTTTAAAATCTCAGATGTAACATTTTTTATGAATTTTTAACTCTAAAAAATTTGCCAATTTTCGTGATTTTGATGAATTTTGTTGACATTTAACAATCTTTAGACGTCCATAAAAAATTATTGTGGATTTTCGATCAACTTTTTTTTTAATTTTCACTAACAATATGAGGAACGTCGCAACCAAGCAAAAAATGTTTATCGACAATAGTTAAAAAAAAAAAAAAGAAAACTTGAAACTGTCTTATACCTTTATAAATAGCTCAAAAAGAATCGCAATGTTTCAAAAATGTTATGGTGCCTAAAATTGCTAACATAAACATTCTGTGAAAATGTCATGTATCGACGGTTTTTTTCGACGGAAAAAAACTAAATCTATTTTTTCTTTAACTTTTTGTTTGTTTTTCCTGATGCTTTTGAAAATTTTTGGTAATTTTTGACCCTTCAAAGTATCAACTAGATTTGATTTTCCTACCAGAAATTATTATGTTGTTATCAACACCTTGTTGAAGATAATCGAATCGTGATGATTGATGGCACACACAAATAATGAAAAAAAAATAAAACATATAGGTACACACATCATTGTGAAATCAATACCCACATTCATAGTTTCTACTTAGAATCTAAAATTGTGGATATTTAGATGTGGCATACAGAAATTATTTTTGAAATGTGAGTGAAAAAATTCAATTCAATTAATAAATTGTTGTTCATGTTATCGTTGAAGAACCAAGAACGTATATGTTGGCAGTGGCCTATACGGCTATCGAGCGCTATACAATATAATATAGCTTGTGGAGGAAACCTCGCATTGTTATAAAAAAAAAATATTCAAAAAAATGTTGCGTATTATTCAAACAATCACCCATGAAGCAGACACGAACTTCGTCTGGACTTAAAAATAAGGCTTGCACAATGAATATTTTATAAATATTTAGTAGGTACAGTAAAAATATACCCCTTGGTAGAATTGTACAAACAAGTATAAGGAAGTTTATAAAAATTGTTAATTGTATAGTGACCCAGTTACTATAGGTGTAAATTTTACAAATATACATTTTAAATGGCCCTGTACGGCTTTACTCCTTTTTGACAAAAGGTTCATAGTAATTTGTGTTAATTCCCGGTCACCCATAAATGTAACCATCAGTGGGATACTGGGAATGGGGATCCAGGCGGGCAATGATCGGGTCGACATTATGTGTCGTTATTATAAACTGGATTCACCTCTGATTAACTACTAGTGACTGTGTGAGTACCTATTGCACAATTTCAGTGTTTGTTTTGAAAATAATATGGTACCTAATTTAATTATGTATTATGTTTTTATATTGAGAAATGTATGCCCACTGATTACTGAAATATCAATATAATAATATGTATGTGGCTGAAAATATATAAACGCATATGCATCATAGTGATTTGTGATAACTACTGTCTAGTGTCTACTGATACAAATTTAAAAACACTAGTAATGGAGCCAATCCACTAAATAGTAAATGGTTTTAAAATTTGTATTCTTAAAAGTTAAAATACAAACATTTTTTTTTTGTTTTTGACACCGTGGGAACTGCTTTCGAATTGCTTCCGCGACATATATTACTTCCGCGATGATACCAGCCTAATATAATTAAAAATTAATAATTATAATATTCCATACGACACGTCGACACGCCCCACTGTAGTATTCATTCCATGTGGGCTTGTAACAGTTGTAGCCTGTAAAGTCCTCATATTATATTATATTATTATGTTTGGCTTTGTGTGGTTATTATTTAGCCAGCCAACTATATCTACTATTCTACTACCTACCCATATACCTATATGGGCTATATATACCTTCACTGATTGCAGTTCCAGCTATATATATATAGATATACCTAATGTAATAATACGACCTGTGAAGTGTGTGTAGCCGTAGTGTATGTTCTATACATATTGATGGACGGTGGTAGTAGCCATCCTTTACGGTTTTAAGACGTGTTTTCATATGTGGCAATGTTTATGGTTTTATGGTCGCGTGTACATAATATGATACATACGCTACGTACCAGCAACGCATTTATGAATCATTTCTTATTTTCGTGTGCACAGTGATGCACTTGCCGACAAAAGGAACTGATGTCTTGTGTAATTACTTTATACTACGTTTTAGTCCGTGGTCGGGGACGTCTGTATACATATAATATAATAATAGTATACAATATACAATAACACATAATCCCGTACATAAAGGATAAACGATTGGACCACACGTGGGGTATATGTGCGCACACGTACTCGCGTATGTGTGTATAAGCACCTCACTAAAAGGTGTAGGATATACGGAGTACTGGGGAGACTGTTGTATCCTGGAATCGTCCAGATCGTTGTTGTGGCATATAGCTTTATATATTGAGGTTATTGCAGTGCTTTGAGGGCAAAAATATCCTGCAAGGGTATTGCAGATATTTAATGGGGCTGGAAACGAAGGCTTGTGTATAATGTGCATATTATTATGTATGTAAAATATAAATTAATATTCCTCTATATGGATAGGAATATAGGATGTATCGCCAAAAGCTGTTAATTGATATTCATCTTATACGCGTTCTCAATTGTATTTACAAAATAATTTATAAAATGTCTTACATTTTAGTCTGAATGATAATATAAATATATAATTAATAATTTATAAAATGCCTACATTTTATTATGAAGGATACTAAACTTACTCACTCATTACCAGGGCTAGGATTTGTATGCAATAAAAAATGGTAAAATATGCATTTTATTTACCAAAATATGCAAAAATATGCATTTAAATTTTTATAAGATAAACACAAAAATTAAGTTACAAAAAAAAATATTTATTTGTTGAACATCAGTGAGATTGGCTGTTTGTCTTATAATCTATATATATAAATATGGAGACAAAAAATTCGAAATTGCATCAGTTGAGAACAGCTGGGCTGATTTTGCTCAAATTTTTTTTAAGATGTTCGTAATTGCCAGGTGAAGGTTTTTACGAAAGAAAATTTTTAAAAAGTCAACCGAAAAATTAGAAAAC